CATATTTTATTTATTGTTTTATTTATTGCATACGTCAAGTAAATGGAATCCCAAATTATGAAGATGCAAAACACAGTGTGGGTATTTATCAGCACTGAATGTTTTTATGTGCTCCAAGACAACTTGGGGTTTCCCTGCTGACTGTGAGCAGCTTGCTGGTTTTGAAGATCTAGCACCTTTGGAACTGAAGGGATATGCTGAATTTTAAGTACTTGGAAAGAGAATTAATTGCATGGACAGCAACATTTTCCTTTTTGTTGTTGTTGTATGCTCATCAATAGCAAATGATGAAGCCTCTGGGGGATATTAACACGAGTAAACTAAACACAGGAGTGGGACTGTTTAAACAAGGTGAGACAAAAGCCTTCATACTACAAGCAAATGACTTTGATAGCGCTGCCTTTTTTTTTTTTTTAAATATTTCCACCTCTATTGTTGCAGATGCCTGCATTTAAATAGGAACTTTAACTTTCTCCTCCCAGGTTCTCCTCCTTCATTAGCCTGCATGGAGTTCACAGGCCCTCTTATCTCTTGGGCTATTTCTACTAGGGCCTGGGAGCTCTGCTGGGTTCCCCGTGTAGCTGTCTATTGAGGTGGAACCTCCTGCCAGGAGTCTCCTGCCTTCTCCCCCACTGTCCATGAACAGGAAAGGATTTGCCCTGGCTAATAGTTTCAGAGGCATAAAGTCATCTGTGTGCATGCCTCCATGCCCATTTGCCCTGCACCTTCACACCTACCCCTGGCTATGCTCACTGCCTGGCAAGAAGCCCCCTTGAGCTGCACCCCCAAAAAAGCCCAACCCCAACAAAAAATCTTGCTGGCATTGAAGTCCTGGGGCATCTCACAAATGAGGGAGGCAAAGCGAGTGCTGGTACATCAGCTCCTGCTTACCTGGTGAGCCTGTCCTACACATGGAGCGATGCACCGCTTCCTCACTCATGCTAGAGAAGGTAATGCCTTTCTGCACCATTATTTTCCCAGCACAGCACAGGTCCTGTAGGGGTTCCCCAATTTCTGGGCAGTCAAAAGGAGCTTCTTTCCATGTGGCACCCTCTCATCCTGTCCCTCTAGGACCAGGTATTGCTGCCCTCCCAAGTCTTCCTGCCTGTTCCCAGGCTGCTGGAGAAGTCAAGAGAGCAGTGGAAGGAGGTTTAAATATCCGGTCCTAAATGTGTGTAAGCTAGTCCCATTCGTCTGAACAATTCTTTTTCTGTTTCCACATTTTCATGGGGACCTTTCCAACCTGCTGAAAAGGCTGAGCAATATTAATTTTGAACTGTTCTGAACTGCATGCATAGATGCTAGACTGCTACAAATAGAGACGCCGGCATCTCTAAATGAAGAGATGAATAAATAATAATACATATTAAAAAATGTCTGAATAGGAACTTACAGGATAAACAGTAACAGCTTCAAAGGAGCCATTGATCTATGGAGTACATAATGTGTGTGTTAAAATGGTTGGAATATTTATTTACATGACACAGCTCAGAAGAAGCCATTAGGGTCCTTAAGTAAATTATACATGTTGTGAAAATTGTCAAAGTGTTTCTTTTACCAGAGACAAGTGTATCCTGTCAGTTGATAAACACATTATCTTTGGGGGGGGGTGGGGGGGGAAAAAAAAAGAAAAAGGCAAGCAAACCCAAGGCTAAAAGAAGGTTAAAGCAGAAAAGAAAAAAAAAAAAAAAAGAAAAGAGGAGGGAGGGGGGAATAAAAACCAACCCTCATACCATGTCAAAGTGTGCTCCATGTCCATCAAAGGAAGAAAAGTCAGAGCTGCTCTGCCCCGCGGCTCTTGTGGAGGGACTGCGAGTGTCTGCGTGCGAGTCCTGGGCACCAGCTCTTCTCCCTACAGGCCAAGCAGTGACAAATGGGGGCTAACTCATTCCAGCCACCGCTGCATCCTCTGTGGGGAAATGAGCTGCCTGAAGAAGGCTCCACTCTCCCCGTGGCACGGGACAGGCAGGGTACCGCTGGCTGTAGGGGAGATGCTGCCTGCAGTGCTTGCAAGACCTCGATGGGCAAAACAGGGGAAAGGCTGCTGTGTGACACCCCATGAGGTTGGCACTCAGGCCGGCCCAGCACTCACCCAACACCTTTCTGATGGAGAAGGGCATTTGAGGAGTCATGGCCAGCACAAGGTGCCCGCCCTGCCCCACAGGCTGCATCCCCAGAGCGCCTGGTGCCCAGCTCTGCAGAGTGCTCCTCCGAGGGCTGGTCCCTGCACGCCTGCTTGCCGCGGTTTGGGAAAGCAGCCTCCCCTGGTAGGCACAGCTTGCGAGTTTTCTCTGACATGGGAGTAAGAGTAAAGGACGGATGGATTTTCTAATGCAGGCGGTTGCAAAGGGGGGGAATATATTTAGCCTGTGTTTTCAGATCACATGTTCTGGGACTAGAGAGCACAACGCTTTCAATAGTGTTTGGGAAGCACGCTATTTAGCACTGCAAGCCTCACTATTGGAGAAGCCAGCAAATTGCGTTGCATCTAAGACAATTACTTGAATTGCTTGTACTGTGGTTTCTTCTTTCTGACTGCAAAGGTTTTAAAGGAATGTGACTTGTACAGCTAGAAAGCGTTAAAAATACAAATAATACTAAAGTGCTGCTCCGCATCTGCATAAACCTGTTTATCCTATACATGGCTTATTTATTAACTCTCAGAACAACCTGCAGGACAGCTATGGCATTCCTCATGACCATTTCTCATGGAGCTGAAAACGCAGCAACTGCTTAAAAGCAATACGACATGGTTGAGAAAGTGAAAATAAATACCATCCTCATGCGAAACAGCGGGGAAAACGCGTCTCCCACTGTAAGAGCTCAAATTTGGCTTTCATATGGAATCAACACCTCCAATCATTTGGAAATTTAAGAGGGGTCTCAGCATCAGCAAGGACTGGAAGCTCAGCACTGCAGCTCACTGAAATGCAGCATTAATCGCTGCTCTCTGTGGAAAGCATACAAGTTTGGGATAGAAAAGACCTCAGTCCCTCCCTCTTCTACTCCTTTTTGAGAACATTTTCTGGTCCTTTACAATTCCAGCGTCCCAAGCAACAGAGTTCTCACTGCCGCTGCTAGGAATGTGCTCCTGAATAAGCTTCCCTTCCGAAGGTTTCCTAATAACCTCAGCTCTTCTTACACTATCTTTATTATCCAAAACATAATCCCCCTAGCAGAAATGAAGTAAAAAACATGACTACATTTTGTCTGTTTCATCTCTGCTTCTACAAACCAGAGCACATGTCATCATTGCGAATGGAAAGCGGGATGTTAGTTTGACAGCTGGTGACTTGCTCAAGGTCACAACAGAGTCTCAGTAGCAGAGCTGGGAACAGAATTTGGTATCCTAATTCCTAATCTGGCAGCCTCACCACAACTCTCATCACGCAATCAAATAGCTCCTTTTAAGGAATGCTTTTGTGACTAAGAGAAAATCCAAGGCGCTAGAAGAAAGAGTCCTTTTAATTCGCCTTTGTTCAAACATTTACGTCTTCTGCTGTATGGAAAACATGATTTAAACAAAATATGGGATTAAAGTATTTTGAAAGATTCTAGAACCTTTGAAAAACAAAAATAAATATGGCTGTATTTAGGGCTGTACTGACTGCAGCCATTAGTGAGCGATTAGACACTCCTTGCTTACGGTTTCACACATAGCATAAGGAATAAATCAAGACCAGCCTCTCCTATGCTTTAAGAGAGCTTTTTCTTTTTGCATGCTTGTCAGGAATCCTATATAATGTGAAAATTTTCACAGCTCTTTTAGTAAGATTTCAGTTTTCTAAAGGCTGTAACTTGTTGCACCACAGTTGCTTTTTTAAGCAAACAAACAAAACAACAACGAAATCCTCAAACCGCTAAACTCTATGGGAAATTGCCCCGATTTGAAACAATCCACAAATTGGTCTGTTCTCCGTGGAAGGGCAGTCCAGTGATTTATCAGATCTCCCAGGATACACCAGCTTTGATATCTGGAATCTCGACAAGGTAGGCTCATATTTTAGGACAGCACATTTTACTTGCTTCCTCTTCTGTGTAACAGAATACTGTAATTTGGCAACAGCGGAGAGAAACAAATGAGGGCATTGAGAACTAATGTTACTGAAAAACCTGTATACAAAATAAGCTGAGCTATAGAGCTCAGCTAAGCTGAGGACTACAAATATTAACAGGATAAACAAGGAAAATGAGTAGAAATGTAAGCCATTCCTGAGGAAAAAAAGTTGTTTAAATAAACAATGCAAAAATTCCCAAACTGCAGTAAAGAAAAAAATCCCATTAATAGCATTCTTACTGTCATTGAATTAGCTGGAGACACAGAACAATAGGTTCATGACTTAATTCTACAAGAACGTGTATTTTGTTCATTAAACTACTATAACATCTGAGTTGGGGGGAGAAAAATTGGGGACCCACTCCCTGTCCCTTGAGCCAGGGACAAGCCTGTGAAATGCCACTGCCTTCAAAGCATTTGAAGTGACAGGAGGCCTCATGTTTGCAGACATGCAAGCCAGTTTTTGATTTGATCTTTATGCAATTATTTTGATTAAGAAAATGTTCATCTTGTTGACATTATCACTGTAGTCAATAGCTAATGACCCCAGCAGTTCATTACCTTATAAATATTTAACTTAATAGAAGAAGTCCCTTGGGTTATGGTACTTTTGACACTCGTATAATCTGAAACAAATCCTCTCTTTTTTAGTCAAACAGACCATGTTACACACAGTTGGCTAGCTATTTACAAAGCACCCAATTAAATCCTACTTAATTCTCCCACTCTGAAAATCCCATCTCACAAGCGCGCAGGCTACTGATCACACAAAATGAGCATCTTGCACCAAGCCCGGGCATTAGTTTACGGGCTGTAGAACTCGGAGCTTACAAAAGCCTGCCATAAAATGTACTTGCCCATCAAATAGTACGAACAAAAAAAAAGGCAAGGAGAACGAACATGCAAATTCAGAGAATTGAAGAAATAAGCTGAAGAATCACAGTTAAAGACAGGTAAATCTAGTTTAATGTTCACATGTAGTAGTTACACATCACAGAGATTAAACAGGATTTTAACTGTAACATAGCTGCAGTGAAATGAAAGTCATCTTGTACTAGAAAAATAATCTTGACGCAGTTATCTGATTTTTGGTCTACTTAAGTTCATTTTAAGATGAGTTTACACCACTGATCATAATGACTTTGCCCATATGCCTTTCCGCAGTCCCCTATTAATACTCTTTGGACGAAGGAAACAGTAACTGTTTTTGTTAATGGTTTGCCCTTTGGTTGCAAGCAGAGAACTGTTTTCGCTTTTTAAGCAATTAATAAGACCGTAGGAATGCAGGTTTGCAGTAAAACCTTTTGGTACTAAATGAAGTTCCAGAACAAATTTCTTGATCTGATGCAACAGCAGATTTTTAAAAAGCTGATTAAAGATCTAAAGCATCACCCCATAATGCAAAAAGTAGATAGAGTGTCTATTTTCAGTAAAAAAAGCACTACATCTTACTGCTACTTTTATAGAACGCACTAAAAACCCCTGTGCCTAAATGACAAAAGTGTAGTCTCAAAATGTATTATACACTTACAAACATTTTTAGTCTAGATTGAGGAAAAACACGTTTGTATGGACTCCAAACAAGTTCATTTGCAATTAGACATCTCATGCAATCATGCAGGACCACTAGGTATAGCTGTAGGTTCCGAGTCTAAAGGATATTTGGGGACAATTGGGGACAAAAAAGCCCTACACATTCAAGGTATTTCCATATAAGCAGCTCCGTACTTGAGCTGCAGTTGCCTAAAGAGATTCCCACAGATTTAAAAAAAACATACACACCTTTATAATATTTACAAAAAATATTTAATTAAAAATATTTTATAATTACAGTAGTCTATTAAAGCATATACTTTTCTCACACTCATAGAACATCTCTATATATACACAGTATGAAATGCCACGCGTTTTTATCTATACAATATGTAACACTCCTGCAGGGAGAAGAAAGTTCCCTGGGCCCCAATAAAACCATCTATTTGAAACAATAGATGTCAAATATATCTACAAATGCTCTGGTAGATTAGTAAAGCTTCAAGGATCGGCTGCTGGCTCCCTCAGTTACGCTCCTAGGGGCTCGGCTGGAGCTCGCTCCTCTGTCCCGGGGCAGGGGCGCAACTTTTGCCGCTGGGGGGTCCGGCACCCCGCTGCCCCCGCCGCTCGCATCCTGCTGCCGGGCGGAGAGAAGAGGCGGCGGGTGGGGGGCTAGGGGGGGGAAAAAACCGCTCCGGGGGGCGGCTGGCTCTGCCGGGCGGAGCACGGGGGGGTCGGCTCGCTCTTTTTCTTTTTTTTCCGCCGGGCCCCCCCCTTCCCCGCCGCCCGCCCCCCGCGGTGCCTCTGCGCGGCGCCGCCGCACACCTGTGGGAGAGGAATGAATAGAGGGGGTGTGTGAACCGCTCCGCTCCAGACCGACTGGCGCCACCGACAAAACACAAGACATGCTTGATCAACAACCCAAAACAAACCAGGTCAAACAACAAGCGCGGCTCCCAGGCTGGGCCAGGCGGAGGGATGCGCAGCTGCACGCCGCAGCCAGAAGCGCTCCGGGCAGGGAGGTGGGGGGGGGGGGGGGGGTGAAAAAGGGAGGGGGGAGATGAGGGGGTGTTGGAAAAACGGTAATTAAAAGGAATAAAATAACCGCCCGGTAATTAAAGCTAACCCCCCGGAGCCTGCTGCGAATGCTTGCGGCCGCGCTCAACCCCCCCCCTTCGCGACCACCGGGCTGGGGGGGGGGCTCCCGGCGACCCGGCACTCACCTGGGGAGCGGCGGTCAGCGGCAGAGGATGCTGTCCCCCGGCTTGTTAACAGAGCCAGCCTGCACAGCAACGAGACGGCGCCGAGTTACGGGGGGGGAGGAACAGGAAGGGGAGAGAGACCCCCACACGCACCGCCACCCAGTCCCCGAGACACGCCGCTCCCCGTGCCACCGGCAGGAGATGCTCCCCGTCCCCCCGCTGCCCCCCAAAAAACGCCGCACCGGGGCGGTTCGGGTGCCGGAGCCCCCAAATCCGCCGTGCTCGGCGGAGGGCCGGGAAGCGCTAGGAGCAGCGCCGGGAGCCGTGTGTGCAAACACGCTGATTGCGGCGGCTCCCTCGAGAGGCTGCAATTACACCGGGAGCACCGGGCGGCTGCCGGGGGGCTGGAGGCGCCCACCGCGCCCCGACGGGGGGCTCCGCGCCCACCCCGGGGGCTGCAGCCGGGCTCGGAGGGGTGCCCAGACGGCGGCGACCACCGCGGCCCGGCGTGGCACGCACCTCTTACCGGGTCGGTGTTGAGGGCCGTCAGCGGGGTCCGGGGGGTGGCCGCGGGGCAGCCGGCCGGGTGCTGCTGCTGCTGCTGCCGGAGCAGCGCCGGGTGCGTCTCCAGAGCCAGCTGCAGGTCGAGGATGTAGTCGATGACATGCTGCAGGATCTCCACTTTGCTGACCCGCTTGTTGGGCGGGATGGTGGGCACCAGCTTCCTGAGGCGGCTGTAGCAGTCGTTCATATCGCACTGCAGGCACAGCGCCGCCGGCTCCTCGCCCCCCTTGCAGCCGCTGTGCTCGGCCAGGCACCGCAGGGCCGGGGGGCCGCCGCCGCCCGCCCCCCCGGGCTGCGCCTTGCGGCTGCTGGGGGGCCGGCCGGGACTCACGGCTTTCATGCTGCCGCGAGGACGGAACGACGGAGGGGGGGACAGCGGGACGCCCCCCTCCTGCTGCGACCACCGCCCGCCCCTCTCCGCGCACCGGGCTCCTCCCGTCCCGCTGCTGCCCTGCCCGGCCGCTCTCAGCACGGCCCCCGCCGCCTGTGCCGCCGCCGCCGGCCGCGCCGCCCGCTATATGGGACCGGCGGGCGGGGGGGGCTCCGCGGCGGCGCGTCGCAGCCAATCAGAGCGCCCAGGCCCCCCGTGGAACGCGGCGCTGGCCAATGGCAGCGGGCCCGGGGGGGCGGGGGCGCTGCTGGAGGGGGCCGGGCCCCGAGGAGGAGGAGGAGAGGAGGAGGAGGAGGAGGACGAAAGGAGGGGGGGGGGGCGGTCCGGGGGAGGAAGGTCCGGGGAATGCGGGCGGCCCCCGCCTCGCAGCGGCCCCCGGAGCCGTGCCCCGCCGTGGGGAGCAGGGGGCAGCGCTGCCCTGCCTCCCCTGGGGGCGTTTTTTGTGTCCCCCCCCTCGCTGCCCCGCATCGTCCTAGCGCGGGTTTTGGGGGATGCCAGCAGGGAAAATCCCAAGGAAAACTTGAGGGGGGGTTAGGGAGCCGAGCAAAGCAGCGCCTGGGAACGTTAAATTAGAGCGCATAACGATTAAAAATGCATGGGGATGGGGTATTTAAAATTCCTCCATGGCATATAATATTAATCCGTTTTATGTAAAATTCATACCTGTAACTTAATTTGCTCCATTAACGCGCGGGATCACGTATTAGCCGATGTACCATGTTTTAAATATGATGCTGCGAATGTCCGGAGTTCTGCACTCTGAGGCAGCATTAAAATTAACAGGCGCGTCCCCCAGAGCCCGGCTTAAGTCGTCCCGTGGCAGATCCCAACCTTTTAATTCAATATCGCGGTGCGCAAACTTTCTGTTAATTCCTGAACAACCCGTGCATATTTCTACGGGACGCCGGTATGAGACACACCGCGCCCGGCCCTACAGCTGCTGCGATGCTCCCAGCTCGTGGTGAGTGAAGTAGGTCTGCCCGCCGGGGAAAGGGCTGCAGGAAGGAGTAAAGGCTGCAGGATCTGCCCCTGGGCTTTTAACTCAAGCCCGGCAGAAGGGGAGAAATTCATAATGGTGATTAATGATCCCCTCAGTGCTTAGTCACAACGGGTGATATAGGAAGGGTACGGTGGGAAGCTGTCAAACCCAGAACGTGAATGAGCAGTGAGGCTGGATCGTCTGAAGAGTATAATGAAGCGCACTTTCATTCTCTCTCACCCCTTAAAAACATATGTTTTGAGGCTGTGCTTACAAATATTCAGACTCTTGTTTTGCTTATTTTGTCCCACATTACCAGTGCCACTGATGGCAGTTGGGATCCTCCAGGCGCGAAAACTAGGTGCATGGTGTAAATCTTTGTCTGACTGAGGCGTAGATTTGCATGCTACATGATGACAATATGATGGGAAGACTTATTTCCATTAGCTACAGGCTGGAGGATCCCAATTATGCTGCCGTCATTGCTTTTATTCTGTGAAACTCCACTCTGTGCCGTCGCTGGCTCTCATGAGGTGGAAATATAAATGGGCCCTAAAGCATTTGGTATGGTTACACTTTATCTCTTTCCCAGAGTCCTTATAATATGGACAGACTCAACGTGCTGTCTAAAAAAACTCCCACCATCTTTAAGTCGTGGTGAGCACGCAGATTCAAACCTTGCTGATCCTATTTAATTAAAATCTTTGTGAAAGTAGGCACACTGTAACGTTGCACTGTGCTGTTTGCGCAGAAACCCTCCTAGAAGCTTGTGCGATCTCGCTGGAAATCTCTGGGAAACCCCAGTCTGTAACTGGTTCCCCTTTAGCACTCGCAAAGCCAGTTTGGACAGATGATACACGCAGGCTGGAGTGTCACAGTGAGAATCCCCTGACACTACAACGGCTCTTGAAAATGACGTGGTATTTCTGGAAACGCGTGAAGAACCGTGATACGCCGCCAAGCTCTTTTTCCATCGGGCTACTTCCACAGAAGAGGCTCTGCAGGGAAACCCGGGGCCCTGTATGCATTGCTCCAGTTGCGAGAAGATCGTGTGTGTTCCCATAGCTAGCGTATCTCGGTAGAGATACGTGGGAAAGGGAAAAACAGCCCTCCCCTCTGACTATCGCATAAATATTCAGGGGATTTCCTCTAGTAACTCCCTTTGATGCTCGTGGAGTTGATACATGCTAGCCCGACATGCTCCGGTGAACAATAGGCACCAATTCCCTGTTAACAACCCGTCTGCTTGTGCTCTCCTTGAAGTCAATGGGAGTTTTGTCATTGACTTAAGTGGGAGCAGGTTGGGTCGGCTGCTTTTTCAAAATTTAGATTGGATGTGCACCAGATGCTAAGGAAATTGCTCTAGAAATGGGTTGGAAAGCCCAGTATGCTAGCAGTGGAGGTAGGCATAGTGAAACTCTTCATCCCTGAAGACGTTTACAAAAGAGAGGGGCAGTGGCTGCTGCTTGTGCTTTTGTCCTATTAATGGCAATATTTTTCATGACGTGAGCATATAGGGATTAATGCTCCTGTTTTTCACCAGGCCAAGTCTGGATTTTCTAAATAAATTCTGTGCATCTTTAGGCATGTGGTCCCTTGCTGGCTGGCTGGAGGAGCTCATCTGTCTTGGCTCTGTTTTTCTGTGCTTTCTTTCCACATCCAGAGTAGAAATTCATTTCCTTTGTAACCAATTATTGCAATATTATCAACAGTATTCAACAATATTATCAACAAGATCCTCAATGGTGGACTAGTTTAGCTGAGACTTGATGGGCTGCGACAGCATCACAGATGCTCTCTGGAACTTTAAAAAGTTGCTTTTCATGCAAAATCAAAGTAAAACAAGTGAAAATGAAAACATAATTACTGGCCTTACGTCTCCTTCATCATGGGGTTAATCCCACTTAACTTGATGAGAGTACTCTCATGAGTAAAGGAGGCTGGATTTGTCAGCGCAGGTCTGAGTAGATGAATATGTCATTGACTCCAACTGGAAAAATAAACCTGAGACATTCACATTGCCCCTGGGTCACAGCACCTTAGGACCGGATAGAGAGTCAGGGAGGGGGAACAGCCCTCCCCAGTGCTCAGCACAGGGGACATCGCCTCTCGCAGCACTCCGGATCCACGGATCCACGGGTGTTTGTGCATGATACAATGCCACCGAACCAACTGGTGCATTGGATAGCACCACATTAGTTAAAATGGTCTCAGGACAGATGAAATACAAAAGCAACGCATTTAGGTATGCAGAAGGAAATAAGCAGTCGACATGGTTTCTTCCACAAGGTTACTTGCCATACCTACCTTAAGAGGGCATGAAATGCACACAAATACACAATGCATTTTTATTCTTAAACAGGTTATGAAACAGTGGTTGAGTCAAGCATCCCCATTTTGGGGTTTGGGGCACACTGGCAGAGCAGCATGCTAAAATCCCAAGCTTTCCTTTGCTTGCAGCTGATAACTGGTGTTTTATCCTCGGGCACAAAAATGTGACACCGAGACACCCCCCATTCCTATTGACTTCAGCAGGCATCCAGAAGACTCAGGAGCTGCTCAACACCTAGAAGGGCTGGTCATTAAAAAAGCATTATAAATCTCTGAATGGTTTATGGTTTATGAGGGAAATAGCAATTGATTCCTCAGTAGTGCCATTACTCTCCACTATTGCTATCATTCAAATGGCAATAATGTTGGTTATTTACCTTCAATTAAAATATCTAGTTAGTTGTGATGTCATTTAAAATAGCACTATAATGTGTTTAGTACTCCCTTACCAAACACCATAGATAAACTCCTCTTGGCAACAGGGGACAGCAATATGAAATGAAAAATGGGGTGGGGGAGGGAGGTAGAGGAAAGAATATGTAAATCCTTTATTGGTTTATTATTCCTACATGCCTGTATCTGCCTGGTTGTGGCTGTGCTGGAGGTGAGACTGTGGGCTCCTTTGCAGTCTACTCAGAATGGATCAGGGAAGATCCAGAGCATGGAGAAGTCATCTCACTCTATAGACTACTAATGGACCAAAATCCATCCGTCTTCTGCTACCTCTCCTCACCAGGGATGGTTCATTGGCAGTACTCCCTAAAACTCTTTTTATCACAAGACTTTTCCCCAGAGTGTGAACCATTCTGTTTTCTGAAATCCAAAATATAAATACAACCCACAACCTTAATTTTTTTTCCCCTCATTTTTTTTCTGAGAATTTGTAGGTGAATGAGAAAGATGGAGATTCTGGAGAACTTCACCTGTGTTCTTTGCAGCTGCCTCCCCATTGCTCCTGTGCATGAAGTTTATTAGAAAATAAAGAGAAAAATGTTTGTTGACAGGCCACAAGAGCTCTTCACAGACAAAGGAGTTTTTGTTTCTTTCTTTGCTTGTTTGTTTTTCATGTTCATGTAGTTGTCCAGTTTAGAGCATTAGAGCTCATGACAAGAGCATACTTCTACTTAACTCTATGCTTTCCTTCAGCTTCAAAAAATCATGAGAACAAAAAATTTGGAGAATGAGAAACAGATTAACAAAAAACAAACAAGCAAGCAAAACTTCTTATGCTGATGTAGACTCTTTTTTATGCAAACATGGAAATCAATACCTAAAGAAATATATTTTATCTTCATTAGTTGAGAGGACAACTGAAAAAGTCTGTAACGAAGAGCTATTCTTGCTGTGCAGCCTCCAGCATGGAAATAGATATTCAAAGTTATAGAAATTTGTGCAAACCCACCTACTGCTTTCAAGAGGCTGCGGCAGCAGACAACACTGGTATGTCACTGACAGATGCCCTGGCATTTTGCTGCTGGTTGTTAAGTTGGCTGAAGGCTAATGTCATTTAAGAAGGTTGCTTTGTTCAGGTGACCAAAAACACTGGGTTTGTTGGGTAATGTCAGATTTCTGTGTTGACTGAAGCAAGCTTGTGGCAAGAAAGATAACTCACGTTGACAGCCTTCTGCAGTGTGGTCCAAATATAAGCAGCCAAGATGCTTATTCTGGGGAAGGGGAAAATAAGTTAGGAGTATTTGGAGCAGCTTCCTGAAGAGCACTATATTGAACTGAGTTACATAGTAACAGATTGAATTTGGAGTCTTAACTTTAACTTTAATTTTATTTTGTGTAGATTTAGATC